CAAAGGCAGCTACTCAGCTGCTTGTGGTAGATCCCACCATGGAGTTGATTGCTAGTCTTATCATGGGGAATAACTACCACCAGCTACCCAGCCACTCAACCAGGCCCAGCCAAGTTGACACACAGACACAACTACCACAGTAGGACTGGGCAAGAGCTGCATTATCAGAGTAAAACCAGCCTTACTCATATGGATAGGGTAAGGCTTTCAAGACCTCCATTTGCTGATGTGGCACCACTCAAATTGAGGAGAAACAGCTGCAAACATCCATTAATCATTGGAATGTGGAATGTACGAAGTATGAATCGAGGAAAATTGGAAGTCATCAAAAATGAAATGGAACACATAAAGATTGATATCCTAGGCATTAGTGAGCTGAAATGGACTGGTTTGGCCATTTTGAATCAGACAACCATATGATTACTATGCCAGGAACGACAGTTTAAAGAGGAATGGCATGGCATTCATCATCACAAAGGATGTTTCAAGATCTGTCCTGAAGTGCAATGCTGTCAGTGATAGGATAATATCCATATACCTACAAGAAAGACCAGTTAAAACTACTACTATTCAAATTTATGCACCAACCACCAAAGCCAAAGATTAGGAAATTCAAGATTTTTATCAACTTCTGCAGTCTGAAATTGACCGAACTTGCAATCAGGATATGTTAATTATCACTGGTGACTAGAATGCAAAAGTTGGAAACAGAGAAGAATCACCGGTAGTTGGAAAATTTGGCCTTGGTGACAGAAATAATGCTGGAACTCGCATGGTAGAATTTTGTAAGACCAACAATGTGTTCATTGGAAACACCTTTTTTCAACAACCCAAACGGCGGCTGTATACTTGGACTTCACCTGATGGAACACACAGGAATCAGATTGACTACATCTGTGGCAAGAGTCGATGGAGAAGCTCAATATCTTCAGCCAAAACCGGGCCAGGAGCTGATTGTGGAACAAACCATCAACTGCTCATATGCAAGTTCAACTGGAAGTTAAAGACAATTAAAACAAGTCCATGAGAGCCAAAATATGATCTAGAATATATCCCTCCTAAATTTAGAGACCATCTAAAGAATAGATTTGATGCATTGAACACTAGTGACCAGAAACCTAATAATTGTGGGATGACATCAAGATCATCATCCATGAAGAAAGCAAGAGGTCACTAAAAAGACAACGCAAGAGGAGAAGAGTAAAACGGATGACAGAAGAGACTTTGAAACTTGCCCTTGAGCAGAGAGTAGCTAAGGTAAATGGAAGAAATGACAAGATAAAAGAATTGAACCAAAGATTTCAAAGAGCAGCTCAAGAAGACAAAGCCAATTACTATAATGAAATGTGCAAAGACCTGGAGTTAGAAAACCAAAAGGGAAGAACACGCTTGGCATTTCTCAAGCTGAAAGAATTGAAGAAAAAGTTTAAGCCTCAAGTTGCAATATTGAAAGATACCAAGGGCAAAACATTGAATGATGCAGGGAACATCAAAAGAAGATAGAAGGAATACACAGAGTCACTGTATCAAAAAGAACTGGTGGATCTTCATCCATTTCAGGAGGTGGCATATGATCTAGAACTAATGGTACTGAAGGAGGAAGTTGAAACTGCATTGAAAGAATTGGCGAAGAACAAGGCTCCGGGAATTGACGGAATACCCATTGAGATATTTCAACAAATGGATGCCGCACTGGAGGCACTCACTCGGTTATGCCAAGAGATTTGGAAGACAGCTA